TGTTTATTTGCTTAGCAATTGCTACATGTCATTGTTTTACCTGAAGAAAAACAGTGGCCACTTAAATGCCACAAGGTGGCGCTGACCCTGTTTTTCAACTAAATACACAACAGAATTGGAAGATGATGACAGAATTTGATTTTATAGATTATCAATCAAAACACAGGTACAAGATACAGTTAAATATAGGAAGGCCTATTATTTACATTTGAGCGTGAATTGGACAACAACGCAATTGTCCTTCTCAATTGCAGACCTCTGTCAATAAATAAATTACATATCATTTAGTGGATGCTTTTATCCAAAGCAACTTACAATAAGTGCATTCAACCTTGAGGGTACAAGCCCAGAACAGTATTAATCATGTGGATAAGAGGAATTTATGAATTTTGTATTAAGAATGTATTATTTAAACTGCAAGATACATTTTTGAATGAGCAAAGCAATAATTGGATACGATATTGATGCCTGAGGACACAAGCTTCAAACTAGAAACTGGCTTTGAGTCGGCGGATTCTCCCAAAGCAGATATAAGAATCTGTGGATGACCTGAAATTCATCTCCAGCTGCTGCTTTCATTTCATTGTCTTTCGTGTACAGATCCCAATGAACATTCACTGGTGTGATTTTATTGTTTCATAGCTGATGTCTAAATGTTGATTCCACCTCATCACAGAACATTTTTAGTGAACAGAATTCAGTTGTTGTTCTCACAGTGTCGATAAAGTAGATTTAAAAAGTCAAACGGCAGCATCTCTTGTAGAATCAGTGTGTTGGAGATCAGTCATTGCCAGACTTCCCCCTTAAACCTGTCAATCAAATCAATCCACATATGTTACACCTGTGTTTGACAAGTCATGTGACTCCTCCCGCAGAACATGGGTCTTTGTTCCCAGGTTAGTTCACCTCAGTGTTGCTCTCATTAGTTTCTTATTTTCAGAAGATGGAGGTAAATATGAAATTAGGCAGTACCCCCTCAGACTGAGGTTTTTAACAAACAGATGCAGACGAATCAGACCTCATGCACAGACCCTGTGCTTTCAACATCATAACTTCACTATTCACCTGAAGGGTTTTAAATGCAAATGATTAATATAGCAGCTATACATATATATAAACATATAAATATAAGATAATGAAATATGGTACAAGTACAAGTATATAATACAGGAAGGCATGCTGGGATTGTTTGACAATTAAAAAAAGAATTGCATCATTTAAGCTTCCCTATTCAACAGATTATGACTCAATATGTAATTTATAGGAGAATGTAATGTGAGTATTATATGAATATGTAAAATGTTTATCAGTATGCAGATGGGTAATAGAGTATCTAGGCATGTGGGGTTTTTTCCCAAAGCACTGAGGTCATTCCTGGTTGAGTTGTGACATAACTCAGTCTAACAGCTGACGTTACGCAACAGCTTGTCTGACAGGAGACTTCAGTGACAGCAGGGTGAAGGGAAGCTTCAGTGATCCCAGACCTGCATGTGGGTACTCACTCTGTTTATCATCTGCCAACAGCCACGGGTGAAACCTGACTAGTACTTGAGTACTGTACTTACATGGGCCCCAGTATTTGAGGTGCCAGATACTTTACTTGATAATTTCCATTTCATTCTACATAATTCTATTTCACTACAGTTCAGAGTTGAGTATTTAACTTTTGAGTAACACAACAAATTGAGATTTTGTATGGGATCCTTGTGTATGTATTTTATCATTGCAAAACAGTTTATGAAAGTAAATTAAAACCAGCTCCAGTTAGCAGGAGGCTTCATTGGGAGGTTCCCAACTATGGTGTCCTTGCAGTCTCCTGTACACAGCTGATCATAGATCATAAAAATTGACTAACATATGTCAACGGTTCCCCAGGGGCCCCCTCTTCACTACGGGTCTTTGCCCATCCTGTTGCAACAACCCTGAATAAAGGATCTAATGTGCCTCCACTGGGCCACAGCACCTCCACCTCATAACACAAAGGAATTATAGGCAGGTGCTTTTATTTGCAGTGTTGTAAAAAATTTATGTTAGGGAAACACTTGCTCAGCAAAAGGGTTGAAACAATTATTAAACACCATTTAAATGTTTGTCACCATGTTGATTTGACAGTAAAACTCTCCCTGGCCTCAAGGCATGTGTGTCCGTTTCAGTGAGTGCGTGTTAGAGACTAACACAAGAATCATTTATTTTAACTTTTAGAATTTTTATATTATAAGTCACATTCTAAAGATCAGACAGACACATTAAAACTGCAGCTATTTTCTGTAAATATAAACAGCACTGAAGCTCACATTTAGTCAGAAACAGTATCATGGTCAAATAAATGAAGTTGAACATTGAAAACTGTGTCGTCTGACTCGTTGATCATGTGATCTCGCGGAGGCTCAGCGTATCTACGGCCACGCAGACAGACAGTGCGTAAATGGTTGTGATCCCTCTTGCTCCAGATTCACTAATCCCTGTCAGAGTTGTGATGGGGCAGCTGTGGAGCAGGACGGCTGAGTGGAGGAATAACTACCTGCCTGATGAGAGGGCACATGGGAGACGAAGTGGACGAAGTAGTATTAAAACTGATTTCCCGGGGTCAGAGGTCACGTCCAAGATGTTTTAAATCACTGAGAAGATTAGACTGTGTCCAGCTGAGTAAATCATGTAATCTGATAGTGTTGCTAAAATGAGACTGTCCTCCACTCAAGATCTGTCTGGGCCAAGTGTCCGAGGCACAGCGATTATGTCCACAAACACTGTGCTGCTTAAGTTCACACGATGACCACACTAATCTCACTGTGATATGAAAGTGACTAAAGAGAGAGAGAAAAAGTTATTGAAATTCTACAATAAAAACACAGAGCAACACATCTGAACCGTCACTGACACAGTCATGATTTTGTTTTGAGGGTATTTCACGAGACAGAAAGATCTCCAGTGTCGGAATTAAACTTCTGATGAACTTTGAGAGAAGCATAATCATTCAAATCTTGACTGATATTTTAAAACCTAAAATAACACATTTCTTACAGACTCCAATTATGTGGTCACTCTTCCAGAAAGACTAATTACAGCTACACTGACTTAATACTCGTGGAGGATTTCTGAGATATTAACAGCCTGCAGCTTTTCAATGAGAACGTCTCTGCTGTCATTAATCTGTAACCTGGGTCAGGGAGAGTTTTCTTATCTCAGATAAGAATTTCAGATCGCACATGTCCAACAGATTCTTAATTGAAACACTGGCCTTATTTCTTTTTTATCCAGAAATGGAGAGATAAGGTTCCCAGGCAGCAGCAGCTCTTTGATTAGTAAATGAAAAGTGATTAAAGCTGCCCAGTGGCCCCATGACCTCACAGCCCGTCTGCAGTTCATTACACAAAGTGACAGTATGATGCTGGAATATTAATGTTGAGTTCAAATACTTAAAATTGAAACTAATGTTGACACTTCCGACACTGAAACCGCACGTTTAATACAATTTTAAACATTTGCTGTGAATGTCCTGCATTTGGACACACAGCACAAGGATAAAGACGTGTCCAAACAACTACACAATGTCCTGTTCTGTCCCCACTACAATCATGTGCTTCTTTAGAACTAGTGGGGTCAAATGTCAGGAAGAATTCAATCTATGACATGTCTTAAAATACACATTAACCTCAGCCTAAGCTTAAACTATAACTCTGTATGTGTAATCCAGTTTTCTGCCGTATGAGATCTTTAAAAGGTGGAAATACTGAATGCCTTTACTCACTTGATCATGATAATAAAAGGGAAATGAGTGTTTCAGTGGTTATTGGTAAAACAGCTCAAAGTTCTCATTTGCAAAAGTTGTAGTGACACGAGGCTTGGCAGAAGATAGAAACATATTTAGAGACGTTGAAATAATCCACGTCGCTACAGGTAATCCTGGTCGCCTTTTGAAGTACAAATGCTGAAATATCAGTGCATGTAAAATAGATTAGTAAAGCTCCCGACTTCCTGTGCGTCACTATTCTGTGAGCACGTCTTGGTTGGAAAATTGTCAGCATTGCAACTTTCTCGGCTGATATTGGCCTCCCCCCAAACACAACTCGCAGCTTCCATTTCACACAAGAGGCTGCCAAAGGCTTCCTGAAGCACCACAGCGCTGTCAGGTCACTCAGTCACACTCTGTCAGTAATGGTACCCTTCATACATGGTATTACATTTCAAAACCAGACAGAGCGGAGTTACTCAGTAGGTTTCTTTTATTTCTCTTTTTTCCTTAACGTTCCCATGTTTAGGGACTGACATTCAATAGAGGGGTAAAAATACCGTAAAGAAATAGCATGGGCCAAGAAAAGAGTGCATGACAGATTCCCCCCAGTACAACTAGTAGAAAATACTAGTTGGTCCCTATAAATATAGCGATGCATTTAAGTCCTTCCAAATGTACATATGTTACAGTTTAACTTCACAACATGAACAGTGCACATACAAAAACAGCTTAGATTACTTTCTTGAGCTCATCGTACAAGACGAGCACAAAGGCGCCACCCATGCCT